CCCAAAACCCCAAAACCCCAAAACCCCAAAACCCCAAAACCCCAAAACCCCAAAACCCCAGGGCTAAAAAATAAAACTGAAAAGTTATAATTATATTCCATCTTTTACTATCCATCGATCCTTGAGTCAAAGATTAGCTCGTATTTATTCTCCTTGCATAGTTCATTGGTCATTGACCTTCCTTCAAGGAATCCACTTTGAGGGATGAACAGAGGATCTACTCCTAAAAGGAAAGAGTTCTCTAACATAGAAGGTATCAATCTTGATAACAATGGGCATCATCTATCGAGTCAAGGGTTGGTATTAACTTCAATTAAGTAAGGTCTAAAGTCTTCATCAATCATGAAGTCATATCCAAGGATTTCGAAAGTATTCTCTCTCATATATGGATCGACCTTTCCATGGACAGCTCTGAAAGAGTCAGTAATAATTCCTCTAATTTGCGGGAGTAAATCCCGATAAAATCAGATTGACTTGTCTTTATGATGAGTGTCAAGGTACTTCTGAAAGTCTTCGTATGATAGTTTGTTAGCCAGTTCATACTTTCCATACTCCTCTGCATGTTTCTGCACAGCATCATTTGTAAGATGAATCATGTTGTCATCAAGATCATCGAGATTGAACTCTTTGCAAGAAGTTCTGAGGTATCCTTCCTTGTAAAAATATGCCTTCATATAGCCTTGATTGTAGCAAGTCAGCAATGTAAAGATCCTGATATCAAACTTTCTCTTGTTAATGAGCAATGGCTTTTCGATATATTTCTGAATGATACAGGTTCTTTTACTGTTCATAGCAAAGTTGTCAAGGAGACTTTTAATTTCATAGAAATCATTAGAGACGCTGATCCCGCCACCTCTATTTGAATTTTCACCAGGTTTGATGATCCATACATTCTGGGTCTTCTTTTCCTTCTCTGCAATTTCTTTCTGTTCATAAAAGTATTTCGCAAAATTAGAGAACTCAGGATCGATGCTACCTCCTTTGATATGAAATGTAAAGGGGAGAAGAGCAAATGGTTCTTCACCAATAGACTCATAATATTGCTTCATGTTCATAAAGAGACTTTTCTTGTTGGTTAGATTAAAGTTGCATTCTATTCGGTTATACACCTTCTGGCTTCCATGAGGTAGATTCTGCTCAGGGTCAAACTTTTGGCAATATTTTGAACTCAGCATAATTTTTGAAGAATCGGGCTCTTCTACCTCTTCACCAGAATCCTCAATTATTTCTGCTTTTATAGGTTTTGGTATCTTTGAAGGTAATTTATCTAATTCAGAGTTAACTTTCCACTGAGTCCACAAGAAGTTAAGCTCAAGTAGGTCATTCTTAGTGTGGTGATTCCACCAAGGCCTCTTGTTCATGATAGACTTGATTGCTTCTCAGTTATTTCCCTTGCCAACAAAGAATTTATACAACTTTGAGTATCCTTTATTTAATTTTTTGATGAAAAGTTCTCATATTATTTTCATCATTCATTGTTTTCCAGATGTAGTTCAACAACTTCTCTTTAATAGGAGCTCAGATGGCTTTATCCTTAAACCCGTCCTATAAGAAATTAGCTCATTAGAGGTTAAAGAGGTCTTACTTCTTCCTGAATCATCTTCTGGTTGATAGCGATCCCAAACCTCTTTGCATAGTGCTTGATATTTCCCAGATCGTAACCTGATTTATTCTTAAATGTCAATTTGACGAATGAGTTATAGTCTCTTAATACCTGATTAATCAAGCAATCGTCAAGATGAGTGTAGTCTTGCTTATAGATCATGATTGTGCATGGATCATAGGTACATTCCTGCTTAGGTAAAGGCTTCGTAGTTATTGTATTCCTCCTCTCAACTCTTGCTCTTTGCCTCTTTGTCTTTGGAACCCGAGGTTTCTTCTCCTTCTTTTGAGGATCATAATCCGCTAATCTGGATGGTTCCTTTTTAGGTTTCAACGTTGTCTTTCTTCTTATATTTTTATTAGCATGGATACGCCCTTTAAGCTTTCTTGCCTTCAGATCTTTGATGCCACTGAGTTTAAGTTTTTCTTCTTCTGTCAGAAGCTGATCTCTCTTTTTAACAATACAATTCTATTATATAAGAAAAGGAGCTTACTTTGCTTAGGTTTAGGAGTTCAGACTTCTTGATCTTTCCTTCTTTTGAAGCCCAGTCGAGTCTGAGATGATCCTTGATCTTTTTCTCACTGGTGCATCTTTGAAGTTCCAATTGTTCAGCCTTTGGGGAATTTTCGTTATGCTTTAGGGTTAGATCTGGATTTTTGCTCATCCCGATAGTATTCATAAAAATCGCACTATGATGAGCCTTGTCAATTTTTGTATTCTAAAAAATTACTAAAAGTCTTGCCTTTTTCCTGTACGGTGAAGTTGACATGATCTGAGGGAGCCCCACAGCTTTCACTGCAGAGTCATGACTCTTATGAGATTTTTGTTTGATAAACTCTCTTGCTGAGAGGTTCTTGTTGGAAGAATTTGTGAGAAGAAGGTCACTTGTTTCTTTCGTATCCAAAAATTTTATTCCATAGCTGGTCTTGACATAATTACTATCATATTCATTTGTCTTTTCCTGAATCCTCAAATCAGTTCTGCTAGAGCTGATAACTTTTGATTCCTTCAAATGCTGCTTGTAGATCTCGATGAATTTCTTATCCTGATCCCAGGAGCCTTCTTCATTGAATCTTTTCTCAGGAAAGGCTCCATTGGTATCCTTTACGTCAACTAGATCTCTTAAATCAAGTTTGACTTTGTTACCACCTATATTAAAAGTAACAAGAGGACTTCAATGGAAGCCTTACCAGCACTGGTTGATTTTTCTCCATCTGCTTCTGGATGCTCACTTCCATCAGTGTTCTTCCTAGACCCTGGTTTTTGCTCTGATTGTTCATTCTCTACTATATTCATCTTGGAGTTTGGATCACCCTGATAGAGTTTCGTTTGGTTCAGGCTACTATACAGTCAATTATTACTGAAAATATCTTCAATTAGGTGCCAAATAACTCTCCCTGCATAGGTACAGAAGGCTAACTAGAGGCTCATATTTTTTATAACTGACGTCTTCTTAAAGACTTACTTTTTACTCAAGCTGTCATATCAGTTTTCTTTCTTTATTTTCATCTTAAATCCGCTTGGCCTTTCCCGTTTGATCTCAACATCACATGAAATATTCTTCTGATTTTGTGAAGCTAAAATTTGATGAATTCTCTCCAATTAAAAATGACTATTCTGTGACGTGGCAACGGGTAAATGCTGATCCAAGCCTCCAAGGTAGGAAAATAAGCTAGAAATAGAAGCTCTAGCTCCTTTGTAGGGGAAATAAAGTGTAATTGTAGTCTAAGGAAGCTATTTGGCAGGATTTTCATGAATCAAAAACTTCATTACTAATGGATCTTTAAATTTTATTTTCAGGTATCTCCATTTCAGAAATAGCATGGGAATGTAGATTAATTGATAGAAAATGCTATTGAAAGTTACTTGAAAGGCTCAAAGAAAGTTAGTTGTCATTCTTGTGAAGATTATACCACCCTAGGAGCCCCAAAGTTATGCCTATCATGATAAATTTCATTAATAGGTCCTTAAAACCAGTTGGAGAGCAGATTAGCTCTATTACTTACTTCTGCTCCAAGGGACGATAACCTTTTTATTGCACGACTTCTTAGCAATCAAGCTTCTACCTATATGAAAGGTTCTTTCTAAGACTTACTGTTAATCTGAGGAGGATTCTGGCTCTGCCCTTTACTATTTATAGCCTTACGATTCCTTTCATCATGAAGTTTCTTTAAACTAGTTATTTCTTGGTTGTGCTTTATCATGTGTCTTCTTTTAAACTGTTCATTTGTGATAGATTTCTTTAAAGCACTATTAAATTTGTTGTTCATGATCAAGTCAAACTCTTTAAATCCATTTACATTATAACCTTTAGTAGCAGTGCTGTCTGGAGTACCTCTGAAGATATCAAACTTGGCATCAGGAACAGCAATGTTTTCAAATATGTTAAATTTCTTGAAGTTCTGGATATGAGAATTTCCTGAGTCCCTTATCTCATTATGATAGCTATTAATATCATCTCTAGTGCTTGCTGCTTGGAAAGTGATACTATAGATACTTAGAGGTTAAAATATTAACAAATTTACCATGAGTTAATATTATCATAGAGATCATACTTTCTCCTTCTGTATTTCATTGAGTTTCTCTTCACCGATCTTATTTTCCCAGGAGTTTTGACCCTCTCTCTTTCCCTTTGGTTGCTGAGTCTTGAATTTGCTTGTTTTAAAGCGTACATTTGTCTCTTCCTAAATTAAGCAATTAGATAACTTAATGAAACATTCATGCGGGATAGCAATGCTGAGCTCCCAGATTAGCCCAGTCTCTTGAGCATAAACTCAGGAGTCTAATCAAAAGAGGTACCATACGCTTAGACTCTAGGAAAATGATGGCTTACACAAAGTGGTTATTCCCCTTCCTCAATGAATACGGTTTGAAACTTATATGAGGATTGATCATCTTTTCACAATATAATAATTGATATTATTCATCAAATTTTCAACGATGCTTAAATGGCTGGGGTTTTGGGGTTTTGGGGTTTTGGGGTTTTGGGG